CATCACAGTCTTGAACACCAGTGTTCCTGAGGCAATTCATGTTGTATTTTCAGCTGTGCCCAGAAGTTTCTCAGTTTTAACAGATCTGAGCAGTTCAATATTCATCTTAGACATGACTCCTGTTGGTACCCACAAATGAGGCATCTGTCTTGCATGCAGGGTAGCCTAAGCCTTTGATCAAGGAGCAAAAGACCAGATGATTCACAGAAAGGCAGCAAATAACCAGCTAAATCTACTGTGACAACTCACTGCCAGTCTCCTGTCAGTGACCCTACAGATCTTCTCTTTTCCAGGATACTGGCTGCCTGTGACATTTTTTCTTCATCCAACATTCAAATTAGAATGATCAGAGGCTGACCTGCAGAGTCTAGTTCATCATGATTTTTTTCTTACTGATTGCATAAATAATCACAGGCAGGAAAGTGCCTTTTACATCAATACACAATTGCATAAGCTTTTGTAAGAACATAAGGAGGAGTATGTTGAGTGGTAAAGCCATGCTTGAATTGGCTTATATATCTTGTAAGTCTAAAGGCCTGTCATCTGCAAAGTGACAAAGCTGTCTGTTTAACCTAGACTCATCTCCATTTTCTAACCTATTAACGCATTTGGAGTGCATGGGTAAACAACAGCATTTAACACTGATGTTCTTTGGGATACTCTTTTCTCTGGGTTCTGAGAGATTATGTATATTTTGCACCTTTTTTTTTTTTTCTTTTGAGGGATTAATGTTGGAATCATGGGCAAATTCAAGGGATTAGGATGGGATTCTTTCTTAAACAAAAGAAATGTGCAAAAGCAAAGGAATAGGCAACCTGCTATGCAAATCAAAACTATGAGGTTAACTACAAAATAGATATGGAATTGCCTGGAGGAATATGATGAAAGAAGCACAGATCCATGAAAACATGACAAGGATAAGGTTATCAGCTTCCTGCATTCAACAAAATATGGAGACTGTGCTGTGAGGTCAGACTGATGGAAAAATCTGCCTTTTGTGTGACCTACCTCATCTTTGGTCTTCAAGGAAAGATGGACAAATGCAGCAGAGAGGTTGTTTCATCTCAGTTAGTGAAATTTCTGAATAAATTCTCTCCATTTCATCTGAGTGACGTGTCTTTCCAACAGATGATTGAAGGTCATAGGAAGGAAGATTGGAGACTCTGTTTGGTTATGCAGTTGGGGTAGCAAATAGAGAAAATGAGTCACAAGCTCTAATATTAAACATAGATGTCTTTCCATTTCCCAGAAAGTGGTCTTTATATGCAGGCTCTGCAGTCATGCAGCCAGCTGGCACAGGAGCCCAAGACACCTTCTGAGCATTCTTTCATGTCACTGTGGCAGAATTTTCCTCTGTTCCCTTCTCTTCTGGCACAGCTATGGAGCCTGCTTGTGGCTGGCCAGTCTCTTCAAGCTTCAGATCTATGTTCAGCATCACAGCTGGGCCCTGCTGCTACCAGAGCTAATTAGAGTCCTGCAGGTCACTGCCTTCATGAAGATGTTTTTGTTCTGCACCAAGTACTCCATTCCCTGGCTACTGGCACTTATTCTGCTTTCAACACTGAGCCCTAAAGCTCTAAGACACCAGTGAAGACAGAATCTCAGTACAATAATTAGGCTGAAACACAGAAGAAAAACAATCCATTTTCTCCTGTCACAGCTAGCATCACTTCTTAGGTCCTCTCTCCCAGTCCCCTCTCAGATTGCTGTGTGGTGTGTGTAATGGTAGCATTCTCTAATTAAAGCATTTGGGTCTAGTTTGTTACATGCATACTAGATAGGGAGCTGTGCTGGAAGGCTTGTGGGGTAGATCTTACAGAGGAATGACACTTTTTCACCTCTAAGGGGGATTTTTCTACAGGCAGAGAGGGGAAGCTCACAGTTCACTGCTCTGGCCCCTGTCCCTGCACATCCCCCTGCTGCTGGCAGTGCTGGCCCACCATGCTCCTCATATTGGCTCAGCTAGGACACTAAACATCCATTTCTGCTTTTCTTCCTGTATGTTAATGTTTCCTTCTCCGTAGTGATACAGACTGGTTGCTACAAGGTCCAAAGTTCAGTGTAAATGCGAGGGAAGCAGTTAGACCACAGGATCTGTATGGGAGGACATATCATTTTTGCAGACTGTGAACTGAAGGCTGAGCTGCTTCACAAAAACTTATTCTAAGTACATGGGCTGTGACTGACTGGGGGAAAACAAATGAAAACCGACTCTGGTCTTAACCTTTTCTTGAGAATATTTAGCCTTAAAAACGTGCATGTACTAAGCAAAGATCAGTCCAAGAAGAGATGCTGATGATTTGTGGCATTCTCTTCAGGGTACTACACTTACATCTTACACCATATCTTATGTCAAGAAAATCATAGCCTCATTACAGAATCAAAGTATGTTCTGGGTTGGAAAGGACCTTAAATAACATCTAATTCCAAATCCCTGCTGTGGGCTGGGACACCTTTCACTAGACCTGGTCACCCAGAGCTTCATCCAACATGGCCTGAAACACTTCCAGGGATCGAAAATGAACACTGACTTTTGCATCCTGGGCACAGGCAACATCAGTAAAAGACTAGCAAGGAAAGAGTAGCTCTTTATTTTTTGTGTAAACTGTGGAGCCTTCAGATATGCAGTGAATGTCTAAAGAGGAAATGCTGTGGCAATGGTAAAATAAGAGACACTTTCTTACGCAGACACTTTCTTAGGCATCAGATCAGTCTGATGACAACTATCTGGTTAGGGATGGAACAAATCTCATTCTCAAAGAGGCAAAAGTGAAACACTGTTTTACTGATCAACTTCAGTGATAGTTGCCAAGGGTTATGTCCATGCGACATCCAGAATTGTGCCCTTTGTGCTTAATTTCCAGGCAAGGTAAAAACCTTTCTGAATAATGAAAATATGTGAATATGGATTGCATACTGTGCTGAAGCCTCTGGAACTTGATTTACTGGGGTGCTGGAGGTGTCTAACTGCAGGTCTATGTGCTAACTTCCAAACCAGCCCTCTTCCAGACCTCCTTGGTACCTAAATTATATAGATACCGTCACTCTCCTCCTGTACAGAAATCCCTGTGGCACCTGAATTTCAACTACTGCTGCTCCCTATCTCAGGCTCACAAATCAAACATTTCCCTGCTTGCTGTGCTCATGGGACCTGAGCTATTCCATGCTGCAATAAAAACATACATATTCATTAAGGCACAGGGAACAAGAAGCTATAAAGGGTTGATTCTGCAGCCTTGAGGGCTGGATCCATACCTGCACTGGAGGAGAGGCAGGGCTGGATGCCTTAATCTGTACATACTAAATTGCAAATGCAAAGGAAAGGGCTTCTATTACATTGAGAATAATTTATGGGATTGACCGAGACTGCCACATCCTATCTCAGTCAGCACCCCACTGGCAGAAAGTTTCCATAAAGAGGGGAGATCTGGATGTGAGTTTCTGTCCCAAAACACACAAAGCAGGGATTTTGTCCCAGGGACACTCAAAAGAACTGGGGTTTGTGTGTGTAGCAGGAAGGAGTGTTTGACTGTGTTTTGTGAGAAGATGCAGGGATATGGAATGAAAGGATAGGTTCAGCATCTGCTACTCTGGGAAAGAGTGAAAATTTTTCTGTGAAACAGATGTCATCAAATTGCAGGTGAAATTCTATCTGTGTGAGCCTAGCGCCATGACACCTGGCAAAACTGACCGGTGGAAACTTTTGTATTCAGGGAATTAAACATTTCCAATTTTAATAAATTTAATTAAAGGGAGGAAGTGACAGTTAAAAAAATTATATTTAGACTTAGAGCATAAAATGGCTGTTAGCATCCTGATCTGTCCTTGTAAATCCGGCCCCAAGGCTTTTACTCACTTTTTTTATTTTAAATTAGTATTTTTAACAACTTGTTCTTTCTCTACAGAATTTTCTAAAAATAGTAAGGATAATAATATGGGTGGAAAAACCACAAAATCAAAAAACCCTACAGGGCAGAGCCAACAGCACACAAATGATCATCCTCTCCCCTGACTGCATGGCAGGCAGTTATCAATGTCAGTCTAATTCCCAGTCTCCACTCTTGTGATATCAGCAAAACAAAAGGGGCCAAGCAAATCCCTGGTGTCACTCCAAGGAAGTTGCTGGAGTTACCTCAGGCCTGGGTTTGCCCAGCACATTTAGCAGAGTGATGTATGCTAATGTGCAGGCATCTCCCCGGGTGCATCTGCACCTGGCCTCGGGTCCACACCAACTATCTGTCCGTCACTGCGTTTCTCTACTTGTGTTTTGGATTCCTATGAAATATATTCTTGCCTCTTTTGTTTAACCTTTGTCTTCCAGTTTTTGTCTGCTCTGTGAGTTCTGCCTAATTAGGAACCTTTCAAATTCCCTGGTGGCCTTGAGTTTTCTCATGCAGAATTTGGAATTAGTGTATTATTTTCTGGCTGGTTTTCAGGGCCAGGTTCATGCTTTTAAAGTGCTAAAATAACAATTAACAATACTTTACACTTCCATACAATTTTTTTTTCCCTCTGGGGATCTGAAAGCACTTTATAAGCTGCAATTAATTAAGATTCAACATTATGAGGGGAGGAATGTATAGGGACATTTATTTTCTACTGTAAGAATGCAGCCATTTCTGGGATAGCTAGTAAATAACTAGTTTAAGAGAGTTACTACAACATATTCAATAGCAGACAGCAGTTTTAGACTGTAGAGTAAAAAAAATTGCAATACCCATCTGAATGTGCGAAAGAGATTTATAGAATCAGAATGAAACTACAGAAATTAATTTTGACTACAGTGCCAAAGCCAGTTCCCCTCTCACCCATAACCAGAAATGCTGCTTCATGTCCTGCAGAAGCAACCAGCCCTGATAACTGACTCAAACTGGGCCTTAAGGTTCCCACACATGGTGCTGGGATTCAGATTTGGTCCTAAATCCAGAGGAAATAGTGCCACCTACTGAACCGGCACCCCACCAAGGACCACTGCTCAGGGTGAATTCCTGTAGTGAATAATACCCACACGCAATGTGTAAAATCCAGCATGTTTTCTAAGTGATGTACATACAATACATATACAGATAGACAGGTGAACAGCAGAACAGTCAATATGCCAGAAAAGATAGAAACTTGGGCTTGTGTGATTATATCATTTCTTTATTACAGCAAGAAGAGGAGACCTGAGCATGGACTGAAGCACCAGCTTTGAGGCTGGTGTATTTTGAGGCCCCACAGTAACTAGCAGTCATGTCTTGCCTTTGCTTCCACAGCCTTCAGCATGTTAATGAAGGAAAGAGTGTTTATTATTTTCAACACTCCTCCTCCCTACAAGGATAGTATTAATGATGTAAGGAAGTAAACAACTCACTGAGCCACAAAGCTCTAACAGTTATTAATTTCCAAGGAACTATCCTCACACCAATCTAAGAACTAGAGCATTGAAGAATGGTGCAAATAAATATGAACACAGACACATGCTGGTTTACAAATATCAGACACTGGTCCAGTTTGTCAAAACTGCTCCTTTTCAACAGTTTCACATTTGGATGATGACAGCTAAATCCACACAGGCTTAGTTTTGCCCACACTCTTTGCTGCAGTGCTGGTGCAGGCAGCATGGTTGAGGCTACTGATCCTAAAGCAACCCAAGCATAAAACAAGAGGCACCTGCACCCTCTCTCAGCTTCCATATGAGCCAGGACCCCTGATACCACCAGGGTGGAGCAGACATTTCCCTATTGTTGTTGTGGCTGCACCATGTTGGGGCAGATCTGGTGGAGTTCAGTGTGACTGGATAAAACCTAGGAGAAAGCTATAGCAAAACTTGTGCATGCCTGATGACTGATCACGCATGGTTCCCTCCTGCTTGCTGTCTCTTCCACAGGCTGTACCCTGGTTTGGCTTGGAAAGAAGAGTTGGTGATTGCTATCAACCAGGATACAGCAAATATCCGGGGCTGGAGATCTGGGAAATGGGAGAACATTTCTTCCTGCATCAGAGGAAAGCTAAGAGCTAGATAATCCCCATCTTAAATTAGTGCTCTAACTGCTGCCACATAATTCAGAGCACAACAAATGGCACCATTCAGTACTAAAATCCTGCCTTTATGGAAAGGGCAGATGAAGCAGATTTCAAAGGCGTGAAGACAACTAACATTTCCAGTGAGTCCTCTCTTCTTTCCTCACACATCACAAATAAGGAAGACAACCTCTGGAATTCTTTATCATTGCTTACACCTTTGCATTGACTGCCAAAAAGATTTAGGTAGCTGCATCCGTCTCTTTTTCCTTCTGCCCAGGCCCTTAAAATTTTAACCATACATGAAACTAGACCAGCTGGATTCAGGCCACTTTCATAGATTCATAGAATCATAGAATAGTTTGGATTAGAAGGGACCTTTAAAGTTCATCTAGTCCAACTCCCTTGGAATGAGAAAGGATATCTCCCACTAAATCAGTTTGCTCAGAGCCCCATCAACATCCCTGTTTCCAGGGATGGGGCCTCTACCACCTTTCCAGGCAGTAGTGTTCATTACCCCTTTGTGGTACCTCATCAGGGCTTTTTTGTGCAGTGTCAGGAGGTCTCGACCTCAGAAAACTCTGCAAAATCCAGGCAAAATCTGCAATTCAGGATCAGCTCTCAGCAGAGCTTAAGAGTGCAAAGTCAGCTCAAGGCTGATCCTTACTACAGGTAAAATTCAATTCTGCAAAACCAAAAAAAAAATATAAAGAGGAAGACTTAAAAAGGCTGGGAGACACTAGTGTGGGGGAAGATTGCTTTTTTAAGTTGTCCCTGAGCTATCTACCGGAAAACTTTGTGAGTGGGAACAGGAGATGCTGGATCAGGTGAGTGGGGGAAGGCATAAGCCTGGGAAGGAGAACTAGACTTGCTTCTTTCATTGTTGCTGAGGAGGAAGAAAGAGATTAGTAGTCATTGTCTCAAAGAGTATCTGCCAGCATCTGCATGATAGAGACTGGCCAGACACAAAAGGGACTGGGAACAGGGACTGGGGAGAGCTTTGCCACGTGCCTTGCCCAAGCAAGGCAGTCTGCCAGCCACAGGGAACCACCAACTCTGCCTGTCTGCAAATGCAGCATTGGAGGAATGAAGACAGAGATGTAAGTTTCTATCTTGTAGGACATTTTTCCCCCAAAGCTCTCTGTTAATGCTGGGACTTAACTTGCTGCAGCCTTTCAGAGGTATAGGATCCTCATCAGAAAGCTCTGCTCCACACCATGGCAGCTGCTTCTCAACCACTGCTGTCTAAGGGTGCTTATCGACCTCTTGGGAAAGGAATTCAATTTTTCTGAAAGGGAATAGTTTCATTTTCTTATACAGGAATCCATATTTGATTGCAAAATGTTTGTAACATGTTACTGAGCACAGAGACCCTAATCCTCACCAAAGCCCTTGGATGTGCCTTCACTACAGGAACAAACAAAAATAGTGATTGCATTATTTTTCCATTCATCAAACCTGGGTGCCATTTAAGGATGCTGCTTCTTGCTGTCCCTCTGCAGAGCACTATCCTCAAAAATGAAAATAATTTCAAATAATCATTTTAGTTTCAGGCTGCTCAAAGCCAAGCACTTGTAAGGGCAGGCTGTCAACTTTCCTGTACCAATTAATGTATTGATAAAGCTTCTGGAGCAGTGACATTAACAGCATTATCTTACAAAGATACCTGCAGGTAATATCAACGTAATTACTATTGAATCCGAAGTGGGGGAACTGGTGAGCCTGCCTTAACAGAATTACCAAGATACATTGAATTATTTCTACTGATATGGAAACTTATATAAGAACAAAGCACCCAGTGAGAAGTATTTGTCTTTGTTGAGCACAGATGAAGCACAGATGTTCCCCAGGCCATTCTGGCCCATGCTGGTGATATATTCAGAGCTCTGGATGTTTCAAGTAAATACATCTTTAGCCACAGTCTCTCCACTGTCCCTACTGCTTTCAGTTAAAGGAAAAGACCCTTAAAGTAAAGGGTTATCCAGCTACAGAAAGGTGATTTATATGTGTAGCACCACAGCCAGGGGAGGAGGCTTAACCCCAAGGTGGGATGTCAGAAGAAGGTGCTCTTACCAAGGTGTGGATCAGCACAAGGCATTCTTCCACTTTCATTCCTGTAGCAAAACCCAGTAGCCAAACCAGAGTTTAACAACCTTTGGGCTTACTCCAGCCAGTGCAGAGATGTTAGCTTCAGGGTGAGGAGAGTGGGGAATGTGATCAGACAGGAACAGTCACAGGGCATCTCGAAGAAAACGAAAGGAAATGATGCCTGATGAGAGAAAGTTGGGTTGTGTCCATCTTAGCCCTATGTACCAAATGCCTCTACTCGCAAAATTTGAGCACAGCCTTATAAAATCCTAATGTGCCCTAGCCATGATCTGTCACTTTTGCACTTAAGCCACGTATATATGCATGCACATATACAAATATGTAATTTTGATATATAATAAGTGACCCATTGAAGAAACAAAGGAGCAAACACCACATGGGGTAAGCAATCCTGTCCAGAGACATTGCTTTCCCTGTTTCACTTGCTTTGGTAGATTGCTATATTGTGCAGAGATATCTCCTCAGTGCTTCCTCTTAATTATCCTTAATTCTATTAAACAGACAAACATCAACTGCAAATAATGCATGCTTAATTATGCAGTGTTGGTGGTTGATACTGTATTATCACCAGCTTTTCTTTTAATATTTTGGCAACACACAAATGAAACTGCTACAATATGCTTAAACAGCCTCTATCAGAGTGATGGTCATGAATCCACTGCATGCACAGTAACCTCACCTCTGCCCACAGAAGGCCAGCAGGGATGGTGAAAGGGAGCAGTTCTCATCCCAAATGAGCTTCCAGATGCCCTTGCTCGATAGGGATCTGATGGCAGGAGGCTAGCAAATGGTTGCCAGGCGACCCCAGAGAGAGGCAGGAAGCACCACCATGCAACACAAAACAATCATTTTCAAAATAAAGCAAAAATTCTCTGGGTTTTGTCATCATTATTATTTGTAATCGCTTCTGAGGATGGAGAAGGCTTGTCAGACCAGATGGGACCAGAATATATAATGAAGGACACAGTACATTGCACAGGAACCAGAGGTGGCTGAGAGCAATAGGGCCCCGGGACTGTCACCATTGCATTAGGGACAAACAAAACCACAGGGACACCAGTAAAAATGCATCTATTTTCACAAGGACATTGCAAAGATGCCATATGACAGACAGCATTTTCAATCACTAAATAATCATCTGGTACAGACACTCTTTACCTGTCATGGTAGATTTGGTCTGGGCCTTCAAGGGTATAGGATCTTCTTTGGCTCTGTGTATCATATTTGCCACAGAATCTACAATTAAAATTAAAATAATTTGTTTTTAATGTTGAATATTCCCAGAAGCACATCTAGGTGTAAAAAACTTGGTGAAATGGGATTTCTTTTGCTAGATGCTTTACTTTTCTTTCTAGTCTTTTTCACCTATGTACTGCTCAAGCAGAAGTGGTACATTTTCCTGCTGTTACCAACAGCTTAAACAGATCCATGAGCCATCTCCTCATTTCAGAGAGCACAAAACACCTGAGGCATGGCCCTGTGCCAGCATCCAGGTGATGAGAAGAGCTGAAACAACTCCTAAGCTGGATGGCAGTGGGCCCAAAGGAGGGTTTGGAAGTATTTCGATAGAACAGTCCTTTTACATTGAATTGGTCAAACTGTTTCAGGTAAATTCATCCTCATGCTAATTTATTGGAGCCCTGCTCAAAGACACCGCATTTACTCGGAATGAGACAATTAAGAGGATTTGGCCCTTGACCCATTAAGCATACACCATTCCAAACATAACAAGCCAGGTGCAGCTCTCCTTCCAGACCCTTCCTAAATACTTGAAATGGGTTGGGTGAAATAGGTCTCAAGCCAGTGCTTGAAATGGGAGTTTGGACTGGGTAGTGTCCCAAGGCCCTTTTGGTGTGAACAGTGCTGCAGTGGTGCAGTGATGAGGAGGAAACCTGGGCACTCTGAAGCCCCTTCAGAGCTCTTGAAGCATCCTAAACCCATATTGCCAGAAGTGCAGGGAGTAAAGATTCCTTTCCTTGCTGACTGAATCAGTCAAGCGCTTGAAACACCTTCAGGGTGCGGAAGCAGCTCCTGCATTCACATGGCTGAGTCACACAGGCCAGAGACAGCCTTCTGCCAACGTGGGATTGGCACAAAAGCTGAATAATGAAGAGATGTTTACGCTGCTGCTGCTGCTACTGCTGCTGCCTTTACTCAGGGACTCGTTTTATTCTTGCAGGCTCTCAGGCAGTCACCATTCATGCACAGGTGCAACCATAAAGGGGCCAAATGTGGAAGGCAGGGTGTGACTAAGCCCAAAAATGAGCGACACAAATGCATTATTCATGCAGAAAGCTTACAATGCTCCACAATTCCTTTCTTCAGAGCAGATCACTCCACTATCAACGTCAGCTACACGATTCTTCATTTCTGACACCTGCCTTTGTTCCTTTTCTACCTCGAAGCGAGGTGACCTGGGTGTTTGCCTGAAATGGTTGCTCAGGACAAATTTTCCAGCAATGCTGGGTAACAGCCTGGGATATTTAGGGGGTAGAAGTGACACAAGTGGCGAAAGGGTCCTGCCCTCTTATGCTGACTGCCCCTCTGACCACAGGAGTCTGTGTGATGTCAGGAGCTTTGCTAGAGAATTGTATTAGAGGAAAATGAGGGTATAAAAAAGGGAGAGGAAGAGGAGACCAGAGCAAGCAAAAAGGGAAGGTGAGAATGGGAAGTGAGAGAAACTTCCAATCAACATTAAAAAAAGATGGAAACTTGACGATGTTGTTGAAAATAATAGGGGTTTTAACAGTTAAAAGGTTTTAAAAGGTCATTATGCATTTAGCAGCAAAAGAGCAATATGAATTTCTAAGCAGCAACATCTGGAAGATCAAAAGAAATCATACTTCAATCAACATGAAAATCTCTGCTCATTACACACAATCATATTTAGTTATTAATAGACACAGGCTAGACACTGACATTTTACACATTTCATCCTATGATGCGCCAGGGACACTTCTGGCATTTAGTTTATCATTTTCATCAGTGTCATGGAAAGAGTGACCGATATGACCCAAAAAAATCTCACACTGTCAGTCATCATAAGTGAATTTATCAACACATACGAAATCGGAATCCACATGAGAGTTTTAACTGTTTGCATACTAAAGCACTTCATTCTTCACGCTTCAAAAAAAAAATCAGTTTTGCATAATAAATAATGATAAGGGCCAGCAGACAATTATATAGGTGGAAACAGTATGCAAAATACTTGGAATTCAAATTTGATGTGTGAATATATCCAGAAGTTGCTTAAGTAATCAGCTCAGCAGCTGTATTAGCCATTGTTAGAGCTTAATACAAAAGCTCTTCAGCTCATATTAAAAGCAGCCCAACTTAAACTGCAACTGGCACATGTCCTATTAGTATTTTTGTTTTTCAGACAGCTTCCAACAGATTCAGATGTGCAATTAGGTCAATATTAAAATTAAATGGTCTTTTGTTTTAAGTCAGAATACAAAGAGGTCTTTGGGAGGAAGGAGTCAGTCCAAAAATAATGTTGTCTCCAACATGAGCACAAAAACAAAGTGCTGTAAGCCAGCAGCCCCAGCCTGAATCTGTACCTTGTGGTGTGAGAGGGAAGGCTCTTAGCTGAGAATAGTTTGCTAAACTGGCATTTTCGATTTCATGACTGATTTTTGTGTGTAATAATTGCATTAAAAAAATAATGAGAGTGGGTTTCTTTCTAGTTTTAGCAATCACTATGGCAAACATGCTGAGACGCTTCAGACAGAAATGTGATTTTACTTCTAATGACAATTATTTTTGGACTGAATTGTAATTTAGTTCGTTAATTAGATCTGTCACTGCATTTTCTAACTCGGTTATTGCATCCTTTGATGATTTTACTTGAATTATACTTCTATTTCTGCCACTTTGCATTCTATGCTTTAATAATTCTTCAGACAAGTATGCTAGGCAGTTGATTACATTTTGTGGCAGCAGTAATGTAAGCCCTCTCCTGTGTTACATTGATGCAAAAATCACGCTGGTCACTGAACCAACACACTAAGCCAATACTGCTCTGAAGGAGTGAACTATTCAGAGGAATTCAGCCAGGGACAGATTTTGGACATGCTTTTTTAGTCATTAAATGGATATAAACAGTTACAAGCAATTGTAAATGAAAACAAGATATTTAAAAAAAAATACCCTGAATGTTCTAAAACTCATTTTTCAGCAAAATGAGATCTTATCTACTAAATTATTTCAGGGCAAGCTGGAGTAGGTTTATTATATTTTAATGAACTGACAGATTTTTAAAGATCTTGCCATTTCAACAACTTTAATGAATTGATTGTTTTTATATGAGGTCTGGCTTTTTACTCACCCAGAACTGTGGGTGTAGTTAGAAATTACTTTTGGAATAAAGACAATATGACCAAAATAGTCACATCCAAAAAAACTCCAGCACTCTCAGCTACAGATTCCTCCCAGCTTCCCTGTGTATCCAGACATCTGCCAGTCAGGTGCTGTGTGACGTGGATTACAAGACAAAATCCTGCTGCTGAAAATACCCACCACTAAACATAGCTGGTAGGGCAGTGAGTACCCCACTGGACTATGCTGGCTGTAATTCCACTGCCTGTCCTGCACAGGAGACAGCTTCGAGCTGCCCTGCAGCCCAGGCAGAACTGAGAATGATCACAGTTTGCCTCTTCTCTTTGCTTGCTCAAAGGAGAAACATTTGATCTGCTTCTTTTCCTGGAATTAAACTGCTTCTGTTGTCTCTCTTTCAAGAGAGGGATCACAGAGCCAGATTTCCAGAAATTACCTAGTTCTGCCTGGCATGTCCTTATGTAGTTCTGTCCCACTCCTAAAAGAATGCATTTGATAGAAGGTTTTTATTAAACACCTTCAGTGATATTTTTAATGCCCGTTTAAGACCATTTTAATGCTTATTGTTCAACTGGATTTTTTTTAAAGTTGCTGTGCAGGCCCTAGGAAGACATCCTGTGAATCCAGTATTTGCTTGTTTGGCTTTAGGGGTGCTATGAATTTTCTAACAGTGACCTACCGGACTTCCAAGACACAGGGATCAACTAATCATTACCCAAAAGTCTTCTTCTCACATTTCATTTAATTTGTCCAAGTGGGGTCAATTTTCAATCCATTAAGCAACAGCATGGGAAAAAAATATTTGTAATTCTAATAGCTGATTTGTAATTATTTCTTAACCTCCGCGGATTTCTTTTCTGTAAGTGGATGCTTTCTTGAAATGTTGGGCTGCAAAACAGAAATAGATATTGCTTTAAAAGGCTCTCTAAACCTGGAAAATGGTGCAATGCTCATGTACCAGGCTGGTGGTCAGAACGGCCTGTTGGGGTATGAAGGAAACACTGAATCAACACAGCCCCATGAAGAGCTGTCCATCATTCCATCACCCAGCCCTAAAACTGAGCACTAATTTTCTTTCTTTAAATACTCTCCCTTGTGGTTTTGATCATAAAGGTGCACCTTCAAATAACTAGACTTAATAATAACAGATTTGAATCTGAAATGTTAAAATTTCCAAAGATTTTACTAAAAATAACCAGCAATTCCTTATGAAGGTGCTTTCCAGTCAGAAACACATCCCAAGCTGGTGGGAATGAGTTCATAGGCTTGGAAGTGGAGTTACAAGAGAGGATGTCTAAGAATTTCTGCCTTATCATCTCCATGGGTTTTTGTCATGTTGTCATGGTTTAATTTTGGCAATTTACCTCCTCTACTATAAATACAGTTAAAAAACCTGTTCACTCATGGCTTTTCTGATCCAGTGTTTTGGGTTTTTTTAACTTGGTAAACAAAATATTGATACTTGAACATCTACAGTGCTTTATGAAGAGGCAAGACAGAGAAAGATAAAGCACATGGCCATGAGGGAGAGGTGGGATATTTGACCAATTCCTGCAAAATTAGACACTTGGAACAAAACAAAGCTGTTTAAAATATAAAGCTGTAGGAGCACCATATGAACAGGGCAGGAGGAGGGTGGGTTTGAAGGGCAACAGCAGAAAAAAGAATCTCTTATTTTTTAACGACCACTACTTATTACTATTTAAAACTTTGCAAAATCATGTGCACAACTTTAGGTGGAGGGAATAGCAAGAAAGAATCTTAGTATCACAGTACAGCCATACATGTCCTCGGATGCAGTAGGGTGCTGGCCCTTGTCCCCACAAGTGCTTTCCTCCTGCATTCTCCGCACCAGACACACGTCACAGCAAAGAACAGATTTAGTGAGGACTGGGCATGCTCTTTTTCTGGGAGAGGAAAAAGCCCTGAGAAATCCTGGGGCATTACACACTGGGTCAGTAATTGAATGGAAGAGGGGAAAAAGAGCAAGAGGGCTGTCAGGAAAGCAGAAAAGCAAAGGAGCAAAAGCAGTTTTCTCTCAGCATGCAAAGTGCCCTGTGACATCTGGTCAGGATGCTTGTGGAGCGGTAGGATTCATGCAGGTAAAAAACACCTACCCTGATGCAGGCCTGAAGCAAGGCAAGGTGGGCTAGCTGTGGGAGGACTGTCAGAAGGGATGTAGTCACTATGAAACAGAGATGCCTCTGCACAAAACTTGTACCACTTCAACTCATTCCAAAACAGAGTCATGCTGCTTCCAAAGTGGTTTAATTAAGGCAGAATCAAAATGTCAGCCTAAAATAAAGGAAAAAATAAAAAGAAAAGAACTTTTGTATGAAGACACAAAGACTCGGATGCCAAAAAACCCACAAAAATTACAGGGGAGGGGAAAAAAAATCCCAACATTTCCATCTTGCCAAAGACCTTTCTCACTGGAGGGAATTTCAGTTGAATAGTTGCCACTGCGGGCAGCTGGAGTTGCAAACTGAGCAGGGGAGCAGCAGGGTTCTCATTCTCTCGCCTTGCTGACCAAGGGCTCTGACAACCCAGCTCATTATTTTCAAAAGCTCAGCTCAAAGCAGCAGTCCCAGCGCTTGCTGGGCCCACATTAGTCCATTTACAGCATTTGTACCATCCAGTGACCAGGATTCTGGCAAGAACCAAGATAAAAAGCATCTTGGAAAGGAGTTTTGGATAATGGCAGCACTAAAAAGCACTGCTGGTTTTCCAATGCAAGAGGAAACAATGCTGCAGCCAGATGCAGTTTTGGGTAAGCAGTGTAAAGGATAGGAAGAGTTTCATTCTGAGTGGAGAAGCCTTGGGTGCCCTTTTTCTGAATGTTTGCTGTGGGTTTATGAACCTCCACATGCACTTTGGAAGGGGAACTGCAGAAACTGTGATTGCTGCTTTTGCTCCAGACTGGCTTGGGCATCTGGGTAGTTCTTCAGCTGCAAAGCAGCACCTGCCTTGCCCTCATGCAAACCACAGGCAAAGGTCCAGGCAACAGCTCCAGAGATTGTTTTGGAAATGGTACCCCAATGCCAGCCTGGACCAAGTCAGTTCACAAGGAGAGACTGAGCACCTGCAACAAAGGTGGTTATTGTTGTTGGATGTTGTTTCAGCTTTTCTAATCTAAAACCAACAGTTAATAAAACTCAGCAAAATCTTCTCTGAGAAATTTCACCATTGTGAAAATTTTTATGCCTGAGTTATAAACCCAAGTAATTAACAGCACTTCAATGGAAATGATAGTAAAACACACACTACAGTAGTGCTATGGGGAATGTTTTCCCTTTGTCTTGTTACAGCTCTTTTTTCCCAAGTTGGGAATAAATATGTAAGTTAAACAAAATAAAAATGTCCACCTAATTGTGCAGATGCATAGTTAATTAATCACTTAATTCAACCCACTTAGCTTCAACGGGAAAGAAATGCAATCTGACAATCAAGGCAATATTTTTCCATTCATTCTAGTGTTTGAAAACATCTACTTTATTTTAATAGCACCTGAATTCAATGGATTGATGCTAATGTTATTGCTTAATTTGGCTTTAGAAAGGTTGTATAACATTAAATAGATAAAGAACATGCCATGGGTAAAAATAAGAGTGCTGTTACGTTTCTGGCAAATATTAACAAATGTTATTAAAAACAAATAAATATATTCGTGTATTGGTTGATTAAAGAGGTACATAGCTGGGAAAATTTGCTTCGGGAAGAAAGTTGATAAAAAAATCATGTGTTTACTGTTCCAAAGAACACACTGCTAGAAAACATTGAAGTGTGTGGTTTGTTATATTTGAAATCTGAGATTCCTGTGTTAATGGCTCCCCGGTATTCATTACCATAATGCAGCATTAAACAAGCTATGCTACACTGCCTCCACAACACGCTGCTGTCCATCAGCGGGGAGCAGGGCACTGGGGATCTGATCTGCAGCTCTGTGCAGCCAAAGGCTGATCTGCTTGTTTTCCCTGGCTTTCCTTTCACCTACAGCATGAGGCGGCACCTGCGCCCCAATGGAGCGCTCACGTTCAGCATCGCTGAGCAGGTTGTGCTGCTCCTGCTGCACCTCTTGCTCAATACACTCTGCCCATAGATAAAGGCAAAGGCAGCTCAACCTGACTCAGAAGGCAGGCAAAACTGAGATACGGCATCAGGGTGAAGGATCAGGGCCAGGTTGATGGATCCATGCCTACCATAGAAGGCTTGGAACTGAATTTACCTATCCTGATATTGCCAGGATGGCAGCAAGAACACCTTCCCCAAGAGCTGTGTAACTACTGCCCTCAGCATCTTATATACCACTGCCAGCACACACATGTATTACATCAGGATGGCTTCCAAAAGAGAAAACAATGAGGGATTTGGGGGACTATTAAAAGGGTTAGTAACAAAAACCCACACTGTATTCATGGGAGATTTTTGGGAAAGACTTAAGGAAAACTTTCATGCAAAGCTCAGTGCAAGTATCGATATACTGAAATATAACGGTGTGCTTAAGTCTTGGCCTGAGTCCAAAGCTGTAAAGAAATAATATCCCAAATAATGCTCACTGCACACCTCTCCATGAGCTATATGCAACCACTACATCTGCGGGAAAACCCCTGTGGCACAATGCCCTTGTTTATAACCACACGCTCATGCTTTCATATAGGTGCATATATAAACACACATACATATCTAAATATATATGTGTGTATATATACACATATATAATCTATATCTATATATACACACACTATATCTATGTGCCAGCATCTACCATCTAAAGATCAGAAGATGCTTTCAACATAACTTTCATGACTCAGATCTCTCTACTCTAAGCTTTACAGAGAATGGATTTTTTATCTCACTAGTGGCTCTGAAAGCTCTGAAAAAATTACATTGAAATGACTGTCTCATTTGAACTTTTTTGGAATAAATTTTCATGTAATTTCTAGCTAAAATGTACTTTCCAATTAAAAAAACCCAGCTATACCACCCTGATAATATTACAATGAAGCATACTTCCTATGAAATTAGAAAGCAAAATTCACAGTGAGATAACATTTTTTTACAAGTAAATATTTAGTATCATGGAAACTTCTTGGTTCACCAGAAGTTTTGCATGAAATAGTTAGTCCAGTTGTGTATTTGGGCTCAGTATATGGTTCCTAATTTTGAAGTTGTAGACAGACTGGAAGGTGTTTAAGGTATCCCCTTAGTGCCCCAGCCTTTTTTGTGCAATTACATACTGTGTGCTGTTGGGGTAAGAGACATCAGGGAAGGGAATACACATGTTCTTGATTCTTGAGCTGCATTAGTACTGGAAAATGAAATATTTACTTTGGCAATGCATACATTAAGAGTAAAAAGAGAGAGTCATTACTTGTCCACAGTGTTGCAAACTCTTTTGCTGAACCTGCTTCTGGTATGCACCATAGAAAACAAACCCCTGCACTTTGTCTCCATCCAGCTTTGCCTTTGTCCAGAAGGAAACAGTGCAGGAAACCCAGCGAGTGAGTGCATCCTCCTGCCTCTGTCCAAGGCCCTGGCAAAGAGGCTGCTACCTGCACACTGCCACACTAAAGAGATGTGGCTCAGCTTGCCCTGGGATGCTGCCCCTGCATCCAGCTCTTCTCCTCTCACCTTCAGGGTGCCAGGGAAAAGGGAAGGGACAAAAAAGAAGCAGCCCAAAACCAAGACCCACTGCTGTGACTACAACAACATACAAAAAGCTGTTTATGCCCTGCCTTGCACACGCTGACAGCACATTTGTCAGGTGCCCTTCTCCTAGGACAAAACATGGGACCATGGTTAGTCCTGGCACTCCTGGGGTCTCCAGCTGCCTACAGCCAATGGAGTCTGACAGTCCCATGCTCTGACAGTCCAGGAAGCTCAGAAGGAAACCAGTCTTGAGGAGCTGGAGACAGGTGAAGGAAATCAAAAATGCATAAAAATTGTTATTACTAAAGTGCATAGCAATAGAATTTAATGACTATTCAGCTGAAAAGATAAGTATCAGCACATGGAAGAAACCCTGAGCAGGAAATAACAAAAAAAAGGCCAGGTTACACTATCATTTGTTTAATCATGAATATAATGGATGACGGTGAAGGAAAAGGTCTTGCCAGAAATGCAGTTTAGTTGGATCCTTAGTGAGGCATAAGCTTTGCTCTCAGAAAGTCTTCCTTGAAAAATAAATTCATATTGGCTTGAATACAGGCACTGTCACACAGAGTGACAACTGGCTGAGTGGCTGTAAACAAAAGGTAAAGATAAATGACACTACATCAGGTCGGATGTCTGCATGGAAGTGACGGCCAACAAGATACCATCGAGGAGAGGCTGGAGCTGTCAGAGAGCTACCCTGGCTTTATTTAACATCTTTGCTAATTATCTGGAAAAGGAAGGAGACATGCACCACACTTACTTCATTTGATTTTCAAGAAAAGAGGCAAGACTCTCACCTGCTCCAGGGAGACCCCTAATACCAAAGCACTGCTATGCCAGTGTCGGCAGGGAGATGGATTGCTCCGAGGCTGCGCAGGCAATTGTTTGGGAAAACGCCCGATGGTGGAGGTGGTGGCAGCAGTACAAAAGAATATGTAGCAATTATCTGCCTGGCGAGGGGGCTGTACAGGAGCAATCCAGCTCTTGATGTAAGCAAAATGCAGTAAAGCAGATAAATAAATCTCTGTGTGTCGAGGGGGGTGGTTTCAATAAACCTGCAGGGATTTTTGCTCCAAATTATTTTAAGTATCTGTGATATTTCCATGGGGAATTTCTTATCTCCTCCTTCCATTGTGAGGGCATGCATTCACCTTGCAGGCATATGAGTGAAGAGAAAGAGGTGAGACGGCATTCATTACTTGGATGTTGAGGTTTTACATCACAAGGAGGGGGAAGAGTAGCAAGAGGAGTGTTTGAGTGGGCAGCCAAAGGAGGAGCAGAGGGAGATAAAGAGAACGGTGAGGATTAGGCAGAGATCTCACAAAGTATATTAAAGCCAGAAGGAAAAGGACTCTTCTTTCTGCCCTTTAGATGAAGGCAGGCCTGGCTCTGGCTCTGTTGTGTCCTGCACTCCTTACTGCCAAAAAAAGAGCAACACTTTAAATAAGAGAGGAGAAAACTTCAAGACAAGGAAAATAGGGTAAATGGTAGATGAAAAGAAGACACAAATAACCCTTCATGCTGGAGGAAGGGATAATCCCTCCATAGGACAACAGGCCCAGGGGATAGAGATTGCTTTGGTCTCCTCTGGCTAGTGGAAAGAGGGAAAAAGCAAGCAAGCTCTGATGGATTTCTCCTAC